GATTTATATTTACTATTTTCACTTTAATCCAATTAAAGGCACATATATCATTTCCTTCTTATAAATTCATGTTTAATTTCTTATAATTTCTACAAAAATATACTCTATCAAGTTTTTTTTTCACGAGGGGAATTTCTAATGTAAATATACTTTATCGAGTACTACGTACGTATAATTTTTATTTCTAAAAATAAAAAACATTTATACTAAGTGTTTTTTAACCCATGTAGGATAAAGGTCACTAGTCACTATAAAAGCATTGGAAGATAGAAATAATGCATATCTTTATGATGCAACAATATGATAGCAATCTGATTATTAAAAAGAGGAGAAAATAAAAACTAATAAAAAGTAAAAGACACAATAACATAGTGATGTAAAGAAAAATGCACCGAGTCGTTGCAATTGGCAAGAATATAATTTTATTTTCTTTATACTTTCATAATTAATGGAATCATATACTAAGTATATAAATACAAGCTTTAATTTTCTTTATTTTTTAATTAATAGAATCAAATATTTCATTCGTTTTCTTTCGATTGTAATGTTTGGAAATTTACACTACTCACGTTCTTCAATTCAATCACGCTAAAGTCTTATTTGTGGTTAGCCACATGTGTGACCAAATTGATTTATAAGAGTAATCTCCATTTAAATGTATGAGTAACCTTTTTTTTTTTTTTCATAAGAGTAACCTCATGTTGTCGATACCCAAATTCATTATACAAGTAAAATCAAGTAATTTAGAAATAAGTAACCACATTTGTTCATTCGAGTAATCCCTATTCTTTTGTTTTAAAAAAATGAAGGAATAATTCCAAATATTTAAGAGAGTAACCCCTTTTTCTCATTTAAGTACCCTACATATATTAAGGTAATCCCATTTGCTCATCATCGAACCCCTATTACTTAATTAATTGCCTTGTAGTATGTAATTATGTGAAGTGGCCACACCATGTGGCTAGCCACATATAAGAATTTGTGTTCAATCACTTATTTTATTTACATGTTCGCAAAATATAGTCGTGTGATATCTTAGCTTGTTAGAATCACCTCGATTCATAATTACAAAATGTCAAATTTTTATATTTTTTACTTATCTATATTTAATTTAATGTTATAAAAGGTTAAAATTATGCATTAACAAGTGTAAAACTACACACGTTACAACTGGAAGCAAACGCATGAAGTACTTCGTATGGAATACGGGCTTTAATTTATTTTCATAAATTGAAAAGTAATTTAATGAAATAAAAAAGCACCGACCCTTAACAACCTTAGCTTTTAGGGAAGGTCCTTTCAAAATAGGGGTAGATACCCCATATCAAAGCTAATTGATATATAATGGGAAAATAAAAATGGGGGACAAGAAGAAATGGTGATGTTAGAATTCCATGAAAATGGCTTTTTAGCCACGTTATATGTCAAGACCAAATAAGATTAAATTAACTCATCAATAATAATAATAATAGTAGTAATACTCTTTATTTAAATTTATTACTTTTCAATAATAATTGATCATATAGTATAATTAAATTAAAATATGTAGAATTCATTCGACCCACCAATTTTATTTAATTATTTGGAAATTATATTTAGTATCTGTCCATATTTATTACGGTAGGTTGCATACTAACTGAATTGGTCACTATTCACTTCTACCCATAAATGGGTTTGCCTAATAAGACGACCTCCATCTAACTTAGATCAATTCAAATTAATGGATCCCACCTCCTAAATTTTTTCTTTACTCTTATCTTGTAATATCTTTTGGGCCCATTTTATTTCTCCCTCTTTTCCTATGTCAAGCAAAATTATTAAAATGCATTAATTATTGTATTTAGTTATATATCAATGTATATATGTGTATGTATATAAACCAATAATTCATCTACTATTAGTACAAAAGGATGTTGGGGTGTTATACTTGAATTGCCGGTTGTATCTTCTACTTGTATTACACGTACTGAAAAACAATGTCTTTGTCTTTGTAAAACATTTTTCCTTGTACGCTTGGGTAAAATTGATTGCGGATTTGAATTTTTTAAAATAAAGGTACGATAATTAAAAGTAAAGATTTTGTACACATGAAAAAAAAATACTTACATATTTCAAATGGGGTTACAAAATTAGGTGTAAAAGTAAAAAATCAAAGTTGTCACCTAATTAAAAATGAAATTATGAGCCATGCAGAAATTAGTAAGGGTGCGTTTTATTTACCGAATAAAAATAAAAATAAAAAATAATAACGCTAATCAAATCCACTAAGTATTTACATAAGTTAAAAAAATCGTAATTAATCAAGTTAAATTAATAATAATTCAGGTAAATAAAATGAACCCCAAGTTAACCTTGATCCTCTAGTCAATAGAATTGTTGTGAAACTTTCTTACTAGAATAAGTAAGCATATTATCATTTATCACTTTCCATTTTCTATTAGTAGAAATAATCTAATCACTAAATTTATCAAACACAATTTCATTCCTACATATTTTGGGAAGTCAAGTGGGGGTAAAAGATAAAAAAGAAGAGAGTTTGTCAAATGGGGCTAAATAGTCATCTTCATTAGTGGGTCCCAACAACAGCCTGCGTGGCTGCACGAGCGCCATAGTCTTTACCCAACATAGTTGAAATTTTTTATTTTTAAGACTATGATATCATGTTAAATAACTAGTTAACTAAAGGGTATTTTCGTCATTTCGTAAAAAGTTTTGATCCAAATTAAATTCGCTGTCATTTTTAAATAATGAATTAATTTACAAAATTAAAAAAAAAAATTAATCACTGATCACCTGATCCGTAATATTAAATTAATTTAGGTGATCTGATTTGGTATAATTTTAGGGGATCAATGATTAAGGTGAATGAGTCTCATGTTAGGGGTAAAAATGTAATTTAGGTGGTAATTAAGATGAAAAATAATAACCACTGAAATCCAAAAAAAACCCAAAAAGCAAAGGTGACCTACATGGGCCGGCTTTTAACTATTTTTAGCTGGACAGACAAAAACCAACTTATTATCCTCATCGTCGCTATCTGCAGCTGTTGCTTCCCATTTTTAATTATTATTTTCTCATTTTCAAACCTTATCATAGTAATTTTTTTACCGCTTTAAAATATTACGGAGTAATTAAGAAATTTACCGGCTTGTTACGATTAATTTATTATAAAGGCTAATAATACACGTAGATACTTTTACAACCTTAGTCGTGCTTATAACCATCTGAAATATAAAATATAATTTTCAAGGTTAATACTTTCTTCAAATATTGTGACATGAATTTACATATTCCAATGCATATTTTCAACTTTAAATATTTAATTATATAAGAAATGATATTTATATTAAAAAAATCAATTATATAATTAATTTATTACGATGACTAATGATATATATAGCCCTAAGTTGTGCTTATAACCATCTAACATACATATTAATTTCAAGATTAATACTTCCTCTAGTGACATAAGATGATTTATATATCTCAATGTACAATTTTAACTTTATGTATCTTTGATTTTATATATAAAAAGATATTTATATATAAAAAAAAAATCATTATTATAAAAGTATATACTGAAAGTCACGTATAATTGGTATAAAAATTATACATACGTATATGTGTAATTAAAGAACTAGCTATGAATTGAATAATGTCAAAACTAAAGATTAATCGATGCAGGATGTAGTGTGTTAATTTTAAAATATCAAATACATGACAAAATTATACATTAATCGGTGTGATTAATATTTGATTAATTGATTTAAATTGAGAGTGAGAGATAGCTCAAATGTTAGAGCTCCCCTCTCGATTCCTGGCGATCTTGGGATCGAGTTCAACACCCGCCCTTGTGACTCTCTAAACACCAAAAAAAATATTTGATTTAAATTAATAATTTCACTTTAAACCTCCAACAATAAAAGTAGTAGTCTTAGGCAGGGATGTATGTAGTTATGTACCAAATTCTTTTTATTAACGGTACGGTAGCAAATGTTGTGTAAAAATACAGTATGCTGAAAAGTTAAAATAGCCGACCATTATGATAAATAATTAGGGAAGTAATTAACTGCTGTAAATTTCCATTGATAGAAATCAAGCTTGCACAGATTAGAAGCCATCTGACAATAATTGTCACTTTCTTTGTAATAATAATACTCCATAATTTGCATGTACTACATTATTATTAAATAAATTACCGATTATATATACAAGTATAGTTAGTTTACTGTTATATGTTTGAAAAATTATATTCTAATTATTTGAGTTCTTTTACTTGTCTGCATGGTAAATAACAATTAATGACTGTAATAATGGTAAGAGTTTATTTTATTTTACATTTTTATTTATATATTTTTAAAGATATTCTAATGCAAAAAAAAAAAAAAAAAAAATCAATGTTAATAAATCATAAATTCTATTTTAAAACACCAAGTTCAATCAATTCAAAATACTCCACGTTAGTAATTTATTTTCATATTATTTTCAGTTATCATGCAATCTTAATACAGAGTAATAATGAGCTGTAATTTTACCAGCTGTGCGTAAGTTTTATTTCTTTTCTTAATAGATAAAAAAAAATGTCATATTGGATCGAAATCTTGCACAAATCAATTTAGTTTGAGTGTAAACGAAAAATGCCCCTCAAATGTAAAATTATTATACCATGTACATACATTGTCGTATACCAAATACTCTGTATGAAGTAATCTTTTTATACAAAGATATTTAAATGGTATATGAATACAGAAATTATAATAAATATAGATACGGCCCCATTTTTTCATTCACATCTAAAAAATAAAATAAAAAACAAAAATAAAAAGGTAGGGCGTATGGAGGGTGAATATTATAAGGAGATAAAAAAAGAGTGGAGGAGAGAGAAATTAAGAAAGGAAGAGTGAAGATTCCAACAGCTGAAAAAATTAAAAAAAAGTAAGAAACTAAACCATAAAAAATGGAAAAAAGAAATTATTTTTAAAAAAAAAATAAATAAAAAAAAATTCAGACAGCCAGATCCCCACAAGAAATTAAAATTTAAAAAAAAAAAGGAAAAAGAAAAATAAAAATTATTAAGACAACTCAATCTTTATAAAAGCCTTGAATTCACCATCACCCCAGCTTCTCTCTCCTTTGCTCCTGTTAGCTAGTTTAACTCAATTTAATTTTCATTTATATTTATTTTTTGTTAGCTGTAATTCATCTAGCTATTAGCCTCCAAGCAGCAGGCAAAAATAACACACTCTCTTTTTTTTTTTTTTCCTTTCTTTCTCTCTCTTCTCCCCACCACCACCCTTTCTCTCTCATCTCATTCATCATCTTATACTTATACTAAACTACTAAATTTGATACAAAGATCATCTCATCATAATACATGCTGGGGACCTCAAGCTTAATAGGAAGCTCCGGTGACGGCGGAGGTGGTGGTGGTGGTTCGGCACATGAATCCGAAGGCGGGCCTGGTGAAGGTGTCGTGAGGCCGTCACCGGAAGCCTCAATTATGGCCACTGGGATGGAAGATGAGGAGAAGACTCAAAGCGGAAGCGGTATCGGTATCGGAGGTGGTGGTAGTGGGGATTTATTTGAAAATGACCGGAGCACGGGCGGTAACCGTTGGCCTCGGCAAGAAACTATTGCTTTGCTTAAGATAAGGTCTGATATGGATGTTATTTTTCGTGATTCCTCCCTCAAAGGTCCGTTGTGGGAAGAAGTTTCCAGGTCAGTTTTTTTTCTCATCTTTTTCATCCAATTATTACTGTAACTTCTTTAAACAAAACAAATAGACACCCTCAAAATAATGAGATTAGTCATTTAATTTTAATTGGTTTTAATTAAATTTTGCTGATTTTTATTTTTCTTCTAATACTTCTTATGTTTTTCGAATTTCTAGAATAGCTTCCCAAGTACAATTTTGTACTTATTAGAATATATATTGGGATTCTTTCATTTTAGAACTTTATGCAAATTGGTTGTTCACTGAAATTTAGAGCCACTTAGTTCCTAATTTTATGTGCAATTATTTCGAAATGTACTCCATATTGGGATAATCATATGCTACTATAATAAGATTCATTTATATTTATACATACAAGTATATATTTATTTGATTAATTGGCAAGTGTTGAATTAAGATTTGTACATGATATGGTGCAATTTATTTATTTATGTGTTTATTAATTTTTTTTTATTGATTTGTTAACAGAAAGATGGCGGAACTTGGATATCATCGAAGCGCAAAGAAGTGCAAAGAGAAGTTTGAGAATGTATACAAGTATCACAAGAGAACGAAAGACGGGAGAACCGGTAAGGCGGACGGTAAGACGTATCGATTTTTCGAGCAATTAGAGGCGTTAGAACAACACCATTTATCAATGACAACGTCTTCAGCACTACCACCTTTGCCACAACCAGTTGGTCAAGCAACAACACCACAGCAACAACGTGGTCAATCGCAAGGGCCGGCGCAAGCGGCGGTACCGGTCACAATGGTAATACCAGCTGGTACTAATCCAGCTAGTGTTACTGTTCCATCAAGCCCCCATCCAATAAGTGTAGTTCACACTACTTGTATTAGTCCACTGCCTCATCATCAACAACAACAACAAATGAATGTTAATAACCCTACAAATCAGGCATCACAATTGCAACCGCAGCAGCAGCCGCAACCGCAGGTGATACATCATCAGAGTCAGAATCAGAATCAGCACCAGCATCAGCAGCAGCACCAGCAGACAATGGGGATCCCGACTCATGGATCGATCCAGATGGAGAATCCGTCTTCCCCATCGGCTACTCAATCTTCGTCTTCATCCACATCGTCGGATGAGGAGCTAATGGGGAGGAGGAAGAGGAAGAGGAAATGGAAGGATTTCTTTGAGAAGTTGATGAAGGAAGTGATTGATAAGCAAGAGGAGTTACAGAAGAGGTTTCTCGAGGCGGTTGAGAAACGGGAGCATGATAGGGTGGCTAGAGAGGAAGCGTGGAAGTTACAAGAGATGGCTAGATTGAATCGGGAACATGATTTTCTTGTTCAAGAACGGTCTATGGCTGCGGCGAAAGATGCCGCTCTTATCTCTTTCCTTCAAAAGCTTTCTGACCAGCAGCAAATTCCGCTGCCCTTACCGGTCCAATCCCAAACTCAACCACAAGCTCAAACCCAACCTCAAGGCGGTCAGGTTCGTGCTACCGTTCCAGTTGTTAGTCCTACCCCCGTGTCACAACCACAGCCGCAACCACAACCACAACCAACACAACAAGTGTTGCAACAAACGCAATCACAGCCACAACCTCAACCACAACCACAAGTTCATGTACCTGAAAGTCAAGTATCATTGGCATCGCCAACGCAACCACGACCACAAACCCAAACAATAGCACAGTTGCCTCAGCAACCACCACCTCAGCTACAACAAGCATTGGTGGTGGCCAATACAAACAATGGCGGCGACAACAGTGACTTCCAGAAGTCGAGCAATGGGGAGAATCTCCTTCAAGCAAGTTCATCAAGATGGCCTAAAGCCGAAGTACAAGCATTGATCAATCTCCGTACCAACCTTGATCAAAAATACCAAGAGAACGGGCCGAAAGGCCCGCTCTGGGAAGAGATCTCGGCAGCCATGCGAAAACTCGGGTACAACCGAAACGCCAAAAGATGTAAGGAAAAGTGGGAAAACATCAACAAGTACTTCAAGAAAGTGAAGGAGAGTAACAAGAAACGACCCGAGGACTCGAAAACATGTCCGTACTTTCATCAATTAGACGCCCTCTACCGCGGGCGCAGCAAAATGGAAATCAATCCAGCGACCACCAATGCCACACCATTGACAACCTATGGGCAAGCACAGCAGCAGCCGGCCACAACAATGGCGCCTATCATGGCACAACCCGAACAGCAATGGCCGCTTCAAAGCCACCAGGATCAAGCAATGGAGGATCAAGGGAGTGAAAATCAAGACGAAAGCGAGGACGACATGGATGATGAGGACGATGATGATCAAGGAAGTGGTGGGTATGAGATAGTGGCGAATAATAATGTTAATGCAGGTTCAATGACCACCTCAACTACCGCCACTCGAACCGCCGCAACAGCTGAGTGAGTGATGAAATACATGGTATAGCATTCAAGAGAAGTTGAGAAATGAGATAGAAAAAAATAAAATTAAAATTAAAATTTGGGAACTGGTTGTTGGGAAGCATGAAAATATGGGGATTTTTTTTATTTTTCTTTGGGGATAATTTTTATTTTGGGTTGGGCTTTGAAATCAAGAGGGGATTAAAAAAAAAAATTATACATATATGTTCGTTTATGGGTGTTAGTGACACTTGAGTTGATAATCTTTATCATGTAACATCCAAGTGGGTCAGATCATGGAAGAAAGGAAGACCTCGACAGGAGACGAAGCAGGTTTGGTTAAGTCGGGTCGGGTTTCATCTCAGGCAAACGGGTCGGGCCGGAGCAATTGTCAAAAAGGGGGCAAGACTCATGAAATACCGTGTAAGCTATTATTTTTGGGGGACAGTAATTTTTTTTTTTTTTTTTTTTGGTTCTTTGTTTAAATTTTGATAATTTATTTATTGTTTTGCTAAATAAATAAAATGGGGAGGAAGAGAGGGAAAATAGAATGAAGATTTGTTTGTGGGGATAAAAAAAAAAAAGGGGGTATATGGGTAAAAAATAGGAATTTAATGGAATAAAGAGACTACTAGAGAGTACTCCTTGTGTTTTTCTTTCAATATATTTTTTTTTCTTATCGCATTTTCAATTTTTATTGATTAAATTGTGGGGGTGTATAAACGTGTAATCCCAGTTAATTTACTAGTACTTTATCTTATTATCAAATAAACTAAATTGTTACACTACACCAAATTCTCATTTAACTTTTTTTTTTTTTTTTCACTTTTTCACTCCGATTCAATGAACATAACCCATTATACAGTTAGTACCTTTTACAGTAAGGCCTAACCTCAACCGAACTCAAATTAGCAGAAACTCTTAAAGACGAAAGGAGTACTCCGTATCGTACCGTTTCTAGTATTTACTTGATTCACTAATGATTGCCGTATATGCAGCAAAGCTTATTTATGGGTGTAAGAGAGAGAGAGAGTGAGCTGACTTTGGCATAAACCTCGTTTGATGGGTGGCGACTTAGTTAAGCTTGGGAGTTTGGGCCGTCTGATATCTCTGATGCTATAATAAACAGTCATAAGTTATTCTTGAAAGTCTGCATCACAAAAATCAAATAAAAATTGACAAAAATAATAAAAATAAAATATAAGTACTGAATTTTAACTGATGTAGCCTAGCTTTGTCCATGTAGGACTAGCTAGGACGATGTTAGCTGATGCCAGGGTATTCATTTATCTTCACTTCCATGTGATTCAAGGAGTAAATTATTGCGGTAATTACCTTTTTTTTTTTTAATATAATATATATATATATATTTTATTTATTTATTTTTATTTAATAATATGGTAGTGTACAATTTCTGCAAATTTGCTGCAAAGCTGTTGCATGAGAATCTTATTACTTTAAGGAAAATTTGATATGAATGATACCCAATTTTACAATTATTTTACCATTACTTTTTACCTCTTTTAATTTATTTATTTTTTTATTTGTCTACTTAAATTTAAAATGGGATTAATTTCGTCTAAGTAAGAAGTGAGATTAAACTATTATAGTGAAACATTTGATTATTCTTGTCAAATTTTACCTATTTTTTTGTTACATCATTTAAGAAGACATGTGATATAGTTTGGTACTAGCTTACAATATGTTTTTCTTTAATTATCTTAATTACCACCTGATTAGGGGATTTTTATCCTCCAATCACCGTCTGACAAGTGGACCAACCAGGTTCCGCCACGTGTCCTTCACGTAGGCCAATAGGAGCCTGCCACGTGTCAATCACAGATACGTCCTCTGCGGACCAATTGAGACACGCCATGTGTCCACCCATGCCAAATGGGAAAACCGGCCACCAAGGCCCAATCCTGTTTAGAAGCCCGGTCAGCCCTAGGTTTACCCTAAACCTAGAGAGTGGCACGCTTCTCAAGACTATAAATACTCCTCTTAATCCTCATTAAGAGGAGAGAGAGAAAAAAGAGAGAGAACTCTAATAACACACGGATTATACATTAAACACTCTCACCTAGAGAGACTAAACCACTTTAATTTCCGCACTCATTACTCCTTAATCAGGTACTAACTTGACCGTTGGAGGCGGAGCTCCCAGGAGTCTCCGTTATTTTGCAGGTACAGGCGGCCGGTTCCAGTCTCGGTGTTGTAACTCTCCCGCAGGACATCAGAAAACCCCGAAACATTTTGGCGCCGTCTGTGGGGAGAGTACTTCTGAGATGGCATCCAAGTCTGTACCGACTCCTGAAGAAAGGCGTCCCCTAAACGACCCTCAAGTTCAGTCGGACCATGACACTGACAGTGAATTTGAAGTGGAAACTCATACAGCTCCAGACGGGACCCTAAGGGCCCGACGTACCCGTCATACCGAAAGGAGGGAACGGGAGCATCTTCAAACAGGAAGCGAGCCAGCAGGCGCACCGCCTGCTCGGCAACAGCCGACTGATGGATCTGCTCCCATCACAAGGAACGAACTCATGACCTTCATGAGGGACTTCAAGGGAGAGATTCAAGAATTGATCAACAAAAAGCCGCCTGCTTCAGTCAGAGAGCAGTCGGCCAAAAAACCTTCCACTTCACTGAAGAGGAAGCCAGTTCAAGGGCGAGAGGCGACTCCTCATCCTAAATCCAAGAAGCGGGAGCCACTTGCTCTTGATTTCACAAAATTCCGTTATCCTACGGGAAATAGGAAACCTGTTCGTCACATTCAGGCGGACGGGTCGAAGAAAACATACACAGACGCTCGTCTGCTGTTAGAACAGAAGAAGAGTGACCGACTGTCAGAGTCGGCCTCTACTTCAAATTTTCAAGAAAGTTTACAAAATACCTCGATGAGGCATACTCAGTCGTACCATGAGAGTCAGTCAGGCGGTACCTCCCGTCAGTCCGGCTTTCATAGTGCCCAGGCGGTACCAAACTTACCATTTGTGCCGCAACAACAGTATTTTATGCAGCCACCTCCATTTGGTGGACCTGCAGCAAAAAACGTCCAACCTATGGACTGGCAGCTACGGTTGCTTAGACTTGGTGAACAGCCGTCGGCCTTCTCCAAGGAAATTACTGAAGCCGCTCAGCCGGCCAAAGTAAAAAATGTACTAGTAGGCGCCTATGACGGCACTACTAACCCAGAAGACCATCTGATGGCATTCACCAACCTGATGTACCTTCAAGGGTTGGATGATCCCACCTGGTGCAAGTGTTTCCCAGCGACTCTCAAGGGAATCGCACAGCAATGGTTCGGCAACCTGCCGACTGGTTGTGTAAACAGCTTCAGGACGCTTGCTTACTTATTTGCCTCCAACTTCGCCATGAACATCCCTGCAAAGAAAACGACCCTTGATTTGGGAACAATTCAGCAGGGCGAGAAGGAGGGGCTTCGTTCTTACATCAGGCGGTTCAACCTGATGAGAATACAGATTCAAGGGTTACCGGATGAGGTAGCTTATACTGACTTCTTTAGAGGTCTCAAAGACGGGTCTACCTTCAAATTTGACTTAGTTCGAAAAAGGGTGGCGACTCTTCAAGAGGCCTTGATTGAAGCAGAAGCCTATATACAGGCGACTGATCTGTGTACGATAAAACAGTCGGACGGGAAAAGGTTCGACAAAAGAGAAGGACGACAGAAACAGTCGTCTAACAAAGAGGAGAAAAGAAAATAGGTCTGGGCGGCCGATTCCTCTAAACAGCCGGCCCAGAAGAAGAAAAAAGAATTCAAACCATACTCCCCAAAGTATGTGTTTAACAAGGATAACCAGTTTATCCTAAAAGAAATAAAGGGACGGTTCTCAATTGAGAAGCCGGTCCCCATGAAGGGTTCTGCAAACAACCGGAACCAAGACAAAATCTGTGCTTATCATGATGACGTTGGTCATCACACCAATGACTGCATCAGTCTCATGCGGTACCTAGACCGCTTGGCTGAGCAAGGTGATCTTGACACTTATGTCAAGAAATCTACGGGGAACACTTCCTCAAAAAAGCAGTCGGCCAAAAAGAATCAACAGGCCGAAAGTTCCGATACAGATGATGCAGTCGTCTACACCATTGCAGGCGGCTTCTCAGGAGGCGGCCCCACTATTAGGGGCAACAAAGATAATATAAGGCGGTTAGATGTAAATTCCATTCACCAAGAACGGCCGTCCAAATATACATTTCCTGAGATTGTCATCACTGAAGAGGATCTAGGAGGGGTAAGGGGGCCGCATGACGACCCTCTCGTTATTGAATGTAAAGTGGCCAACCAGAGAGTTGGCCGAATCCTCATAGATACCGGGAGCTCCTCAGATCTCATCAGCAGCAAATGTCTGTCAAAACTGAAATATCAGACGGACTGCATACATCCGGCCTCTCACCCTTTAATAGGGTTTGGAGGAGGAGTCGTCCACCCACTGGGACGAGTAGATTTACCCATTCGCCTGGGCGAAAAAGGGGAAGGACGACACATGGTAGTCCGGTTCCTAGTAGTAGAGGAACTCTCGGCCTGCAACATGATTCTGGGTCGACCAACCCTGAATAATTCCAAGGCTGTTATAATCCCGTCTCTTATGCTGCTTAAGTTTGAGAGGGATAATGGAACAGTCGGCTCCCTAAGGGGAAATCAGAGGATGGCCCGAGAGTGTTATCTCTCGGATGTCAAGCCCACTGTTATGACCACTGGGTCAAGTGGAGAAAAAACAGACCTTGACAATGTCAAGGAGAGTGCGCCTGTTCAAGAAACAGGCGACAAAAAGAGAAAGGCGTCCCAGACAGAGTCCGCAAGAAAAGCAAGAAAATAGCAATCATTGGCAGAGGAGCGGCCGGATGAGTTCCGCCCTCAGCCGGCTGGTGAGCATGCGGACCTGATCTTAGACGACTCACGTCCTGACCGAACAGTCAAAATTGGGACGACTGCTCTGAGAAACCTTGGTGACGACTTTCACAACCTATTGAAAGAATACAAGGACATCTTTGCATTTAAAGTCCATGAAATGCCAGGCATTAGTCCTGATCTGGCAGTACATAAACTCGCTGTGGATCCGAAAAAGAAGCCGGTACGGCAAAAGAAGCGGAACCATGGCGAAGAAAGAAGTCAGGCGGCAGCCGCCGAAGTTAAAAAATTACTTGATGCAGGGTTCATTCGGCAATGTTACTTCCCAGACTGGGTTGCAAATGTGGTTCTTGTTAAAAAGCCGAATGGTACCTGGCGAATGTGTGTAGACTACACAGACTTGAATAAGGCGTGCCCCAAAGACAGTTACCCTCTGCCTAAAATTGATAGCCTGGTCGACTCAACAGCCGGCCATGCTTTGATGAGCTTTATGGACGCCTACTCTGGTTTCCATCAAATTCCTTTGTGGAAGAAAGATCAGGAGAAGACGGCCTTCGTCACTGATCAGGGGTTATACTGTTACACGGTCATGCCGTTTGGTCTTAAGAATGCCCCGGCCACCTTCCAACGTATGATAAACACTGTGTTCTTTGATCAACTTGGGAGAAATGTCGAGGCATATATTGATGATATGATTGTCAAGTCTAAACTTCAGACAGATCATCTGTCGGACCTCCGAGAAACTTTCGCCACACTCAGGCGGCACCATGTCATGCTCAATCCCAAGAAATGTGTCTTTGGAGTTGAGTCTGGGAAATTTCTCGGATTCCTTATCAATCAGAGAGGAATAGAGGCGAACCCTGAGAAGGTACAGGCGGTCATCGACATGCAGTCGCCCCGTACCGTCCGAGAGGT